TATCGCTTTTCTGGCGATTAGTTAAGTCTGGGTTTTGATAAAGTTTATCTGCTTCTTGAGCATACTCCTCCGCAAGAATAACTACATGGGAGGTACGTGCACTCCCTGTGTCTTTTTCTTTTCCTTTACCTTTTTATGTGAATCAGGGTAAATATATGAAGTATCCGGCCCAGGGCCACCTCCACTAGGTTCTTGTTGAGGTCCTGACCCTGGGCCGCTGGAATTGCCTTTATCATTAGAATCACTCTTTTTAACTTGTATGAAATAATCATCAATTAGGTGCGAAATCATACTGTAAAGTACGAGAAGTAAAAGTATAAATACAAATAACAATAATAAACAAACACAAGTATAAAGTGAAAATAATAGAGGATGTTTTTTATAAAAACTTTTGTTTACAATAGTAATATATGTTAGTATGGAAATTATAAAAAACGGTAAGTGTATTGTCATATATACTAGTGATATAATTAATCAAAAGTTATAACCCTAAATAGGTTTGGTAAAGACAAATACATTGAAGCGCAACCATATAATATAGGTTACGCTGTATATAACAGGTTGTCTCATAGTGTATCAATGTGGCCAGCTGATTTAATAGGGGAAAAAAACCCCCTTTGTAGTAAGTGCTATTAAGAGTTTTATAATAAGTGGTAGAAGTAAATGTGAAAATCATAATACTTTGTATTTTTTCAAATACAACACTTAATAAACCATTTATTGGTGACATAATTAGTATGACAATGGATCTTACTAAATTAATTAAAGTGAGCAGATATAGAATTATATCTGTAAAGATCTCACGAATGTTATTCATAGTTGAATAAGGTTTATAGCTTTGTCAGCTGTTCTTGTCTTATTTATATAATAAAAATTACTAGTATAATCAGTTAACCGCAATAATAGTATAAGTATAAAACTAAGATGCAATGAGAAATAATTTCAGCCTAAAATATAATAAGAGATGAAATACAAAAAGGAGCCTAGTAGCAAAAGTAACAGTAAAGATTGTATTGTTTTTTCACGTCTAAATGTGACGGCATTAGATAATAATAAAAATAAAAGTGAATAAGTAATCATTGTTTTTGGAGGGTTCAAACCTACCTTACATTTTCCCTTAGTTAGTGCCTAATCTATATTTAGTTTAGTTTTTATAAACTAAAGGGTCATGTTTCATAATCGCAACCAATTAATAAGATATTGTTACATTGTCATATATGACAATGTAAAAAAAATTATAAAAGATTGCATTAAATGCTAGCTGGGACCTAAACTTATATTCCTAATTTTTAAATTAAATTTTCGTCCTGTTTAAAGAAAAATTACCATTTTTTTAACTTATTTTACCCATTTAATAAATTATTAACCTTTAAACAAACCCCCCTTAATTTATAAAATTAAAAAGGTTGGCTGGGTTACTTTCAATTCTCTGGGCGGCAAAAAAAATAAAATTTAATAATATTATTTTTTTTTATTATTTTTAAGTAAAAATAAAAAAAATGGGAAGAGAGTGGGTCGTTTTTGGTTAAGGGGAAAAAAACTGCACCTACTCTTGCTTTTCTCAAGTTGTACAAAGCTTTATCACTCAACTTACGCGATTTAAATTTGAATAATGTTTCTTCAGAATGTCTAAAATGTAAACTAGATCCTGCTGTAGTTAATATGTTATATTCGGGTTTAAAATGATCAATATTAAATTGCTCTCTTTTAATAACATCAGATCTATCACAAACTTCTAATATCTCTAGTTGGAAATTCTCATGTCCGTGGGCCAACAGAGCATTGTAAATTTTACTTTTATATCTTGAGGTTCTTGTAATTAAGTAATTTAAAGAAAAATAATTGCGGAATCGTGAGCTTAACCTAACAGAGCTTCCTATGTAACATTTACCATTTATTTTATTAACTCACCTATAAACTCCACATCTTTGTTTATTGTCTTGTAATATCTTATTTTTATTACTTAACGCGTCATCGTATATTATAATATTATGGGAGTCATAATAACAGAATCTTGCTTTTTTTATATTTGTCTCGAAATGCTTCATCTTTCGGCTTTTGGAATGTATATTGTTTAGTGTGTTTTTTATCATAAGCCAGAGGAGAAATTCGAATTCTCGTTCTTAACGCATGAAATTAATGTTCTAACCCTTTGAACTACTCGGGCTTTAAATTTAGCATTACTAAACGTTTATAAATGAGAAAAAAGCGCTTTTTTGTTAAGCTAACTAATTTTCCATTACCTAGAATATAAGAAAGTATCGGAAAAGGTAATATAACAAAATAAAGGGGTGGATACCCTGGCTCGAACAGGGAACTCACTGTTCCACATACAGTTGCTCTACCAATTGAACTATAACCACCTATATTATTTATTTGTTAAATATGTCATATAAAAACAAATAATTTAACATTATGTTGGAGTGATTCGAACACTCAATAATAAATACCAAAAATTTATGACTTACCGATTAGTCTACAACATATATGAATGTAACAATATCATCACATTAAAACTTAAAATCTTGATTATATAAGGTAGATCCAACTTGAACGGATAAAATTAAAAGGGGGGTTTACCGTATTAGCCGTATTTAAAGTAATATTTGTCATTTCAAAAAGTGCCTTTTGATATATATTTACTTATACTAGAGTAGGACAAGCCCACAAAATTACCTGCTTCTTTCATAGTAGGCAATGATTTTATTAAATTCCAGTTTTTATCGTATATGCATACCGGAGTCCCTCTTGTCCTCAATTTTAGTTTATTTCTAGTCTTTTCACTTACTATACGTTTGCTACCCGGTTTAAACGCTCATTTGTATGACTTACTTCTACGTAAATCACCCATTTTCAGTTTGTCCGTATCTGAATGCTTATAACCTAGCATAGACCCTGCTTTTTTACTAGTATTTAGCGATGGTAAATATTTATTTAAGTAGTTTTGCTCTCTATTTACTATTGCCTTATTTACCAAGTTGATATTTTCTAATATACCATATTCAAAGTTATTTCACTCATATTTTTTAACTGCGTTATAAAATTTGCTGTTATTACCTTTATATTTAGAACATTTATATCTGTGTTGCCTGAAACGTTGTGCTAAATTGATAGCCGAACCTATGTAAAACCTAGTTTCGTCAAAAATTAACCTGTAAGCATATATGCCTGACCCCATGCCTAGCATATTATCGTTGCGAACACGATTGAGAATACAGCCTTTTTTGTTTAGTTTTAGTCATTTTGTGTTTTCCATGTATAGATAACAAGACTTGAACTTGTACGGCCTAAACCATTCCATCCTAAATGGAAATTGTCTACCAATTCCAACATATCTATTTGAGTCCATCTATTTTAATTCATGTATACCAATTCCATCACTACCCTTTTTTTATGTATAACTATCTGCTTTGCTGAACACTTTACAATAATTATAATATTATATGTTAGTATAAGCAAGTAGTCGTATACTGGATATGCCTATGAATGCCCAAGATAAGATTCGAACTTATAGCCTAAACATCTTCAGTGTTCCGCTCTACCAATTGAGCTTCTTAGGCTATGTTTTGCTTGTGAAGCAGAACATCATACTTATCTTTACATAATAAAATATGCATTAAGGTATAACTAAAACTATACATTACAAAAAGATACACTTAATTTAGCATTGGAGACAGCGGGGGTCGAACCCGAATTAACGATGTGCAAAGTAGACGTTTTACCAATTAAACTATATCCCCTACATTGCTTGCTGCTAAAATCAGGGGAATTGATCATGTTGCTATAATTATTGTTGCTATGATTATTGTCTTTCATTGTATCCAAGAGATGACTTAAACGTCTAGGATATTATACCAGCTTGCATATTGCTCTGCCTGATTTCCTCCTCACTTACATGCGCTTTTTTTACCTCCAACGAGGAACGAAGGTAAAAAGAGCAATTGATGAAAAGCTTTGCATCAAAAGATGAATGAGAGAAAAAGCAATAAGGTACTTTTGCCTTACCAAGTTAAGTAAGCTTTTTCTTTTTTCGTGATATATTAGGACTCAAATAAATAGAAAAATGCAAGCTGTTTTACCAATTAAACTATTTTTTACCCAACTATGGTATTTTTTTTTACTAACGGTGTATTATTTACCTCTCTAAAAATTATGTTTTCTAATGTATTTAGCCACAACAGAAGGATGTACTCCTATATACTCTGCCGCTCTTCTAATAGATAATAACTCTTTATCCTAACGGGTATTATTGTCTGTAATAATTACACCTTGTGATTTAGGACAAGAGGCCAGCATCTTTGCTTTTGACACATAAATATGGGTACGTCCTAGGTTATTTAACCGCATAATATCTTTAGTAGCCTCAGTATGTTTTAAACCTAAATTAGAAAAAGCAAATTTACGAATATTATATTCAGGTTTAAAGAGATCCAGGTAATATTGTTCTCTTTCAGTGAGAGCAGTAACATCACAAGACTTAAGAATGTCTAAACTAAAGCCGGAAGATCCGTGCTTTAAAATGGCTCTATGTATTAGACTTTTCTTTATATTAAATTCTCCTTCTAAATAGGATATCTTAAAGTAGTTTTTTAGCCTAGCCTTTAAATCTACAGATGAACCAACATAGGATTTACCTGACTCCCTACTAGTTCATCTGTAAACACCTGTTTTTCCTTGATTCTGATTTAAGATATCAAGCTTCTGGGTATCCGAATTTAAATAAGTAGCTGCGGGGACAACAATTTTGCCTTCAGTAGCAAAGCACGGACTAATAATGTTGCTAAGATCAGTGGAATTATTGTTGCTGCTAAGATCAGTGGGATTGTTGCTAGGATCAGTGAAGTCATTGTTGCTAAGATCAGTGGTATTCTCGTTGCTACTAAGATCAGGGGAATTATTACTGTTACTATGTTTATTGTTATTTAAATTGTTGTCTTCCATGTATCCGAGAGACGACTTGAACGTCTATGATATTATATCAGCTAAGCTTAAGTTAGCTCTGTAAACCAATTCCAGCACTCGGACTTCTCTTTGTAAATAACCATACAAATATACTTGCAGTGTTAAGGCCAGAATGATTCGAACACTCATCTGAGCTGTCATGAGCAGCTTGCTTTACCTATTACGCTATAGCCTTTTTAGGCTTTTTTTTTCTTGCTTGTGAATGCGAAGCATCATGGCAGAGCAAAAAATTTGCAACAAACAGTTTTCATTGCGAAGCAGTCTGAATGATGCACTTTTTTATTTAGAAAAAAAGCAACACAAGTAATAGTGGTATATTTGGTAAATGTACTAAAAGCACAAAAAAACAACCATAAGATAGTTGAGTGCTTATCTGTGTTTTTAACTATCTATAATTGCATCAGGTATAATATAAGTTTGTATGTATAAAATTAAACACTATCTGTGAAATCGTCTAGATTTGCTTAATAAATGTAACATACACCAAAAAGCCAATATGCGGATAAAGGATTCGCACCCCTATAGACTGGTTATGAGCTAGTTATGTTACTATTACATTAATCCGCATGTATTATAGAACATAACACTCAGTTTGTTAGTGAAACAACTGTATAGCCCAGACGGGAATCGAACCCGTGCTATAATGGTGAAAACATTATGTCTTAACCATTTGACCACTGGGCCTAAAATACGACCAGCAAGGTACTTTCTAAAACAATAAAGTAAGCCCAGTGCAAGTATCGCACTTACTTCTACCGATTACAAAACGGTTGCATTACTTTTATGCTAACCAGGCATTATACTCGTATTTAATTAGAGATAAGTTAAGATTAGATCTTAAATCCAAATATATAAACAGCAATCTTTAGATAAGCGTATTATTTAGTAGGTTATAAAATTAGTACCTAACGCCTAAGAACATCACAATTCTTTAAACTTAGACCTATTAATTAATATCCTGCTTTAATCTTCAGTCATATATATTTCTTAAATTCCGGTGTGTTTTCTTTGAGAGAGATAAACACGAAATTAATATCATATATAGACTTAAAAAGAAAAAGGACCTAAAATCGTAGTATTAAACTACATATATTTAAGAATATCCTAAGGTATGTTTCGTGCCTATATGCATTCAGCACTTATCATTAACTAACGTAGCCTTCCTGCCGTGCCTATCCTTTTATTCTTTATTTTAGTGAAAAATAAAATACCAGTGTAAGTCATAGTACTTAGCGAGTTTCACACTTAGCTCTAAACTTACAGATCACAGCTATAAAAGACATTAGGGTCCTATTAAAACTATATTAATATAGAAAGATAAACAACAGGTAAACCATAGGTTAATATACCCAACTCCTTTCGTACAAGGGGCTATCCTTATTTTATTCTAACTTCCTCTAGAAGATAGAAACCATACTGTCTCACGACGTATTTAACCCAGCTCGTGTAGCTCTTTAATCGACGAACAGTCGAACCCTTCATGACTCCTGCATTCATGTGGATGAGCTAAGCCGACATCGAGGTGCCAAACTCCGCACTCAATTTGAACTCTCTGGCGCAATTAGCCTGTTATCCCTAGCGTAGCTTTTTCAATAATCCAAGACCTTTCCTTTCTGCATCTTGTGATCATATGCCCCGCTTACGCGACTGAAAGACGTGTGAGTCAAACAGTAAAGCAAGATTAAGCCGTTAAACTTGATAAGTATAGTAATTACCATTTAACCAGATATCTCTAAAACAGAGATAATTCTTATTCTTCTCCTGGTGGATATACTGGTAAACAATAAAAATCATTATTTAATCTTTCTCATTCTCTTATGTTTATTTGGTGCCAGTTACCGGGCCTTTTGCTATATACATCTTACTAACTTATGTATACTTATTTAGTAATAAAGTTATTTCTGGGCTCATTGCATGATGCTGATAACAAAGGCATAACGATTTAATTACATCTATATTTTAAAATAGTGAAAATCTTACTTATTTAAAAAAAAAAAGTTCCAACTTACATGGATATATAACTGAATTAGCAATAAAATATTAAAAAAAATATTAAAATAACACCAACTTCAGACTAAAAATAAAAAACATGTAGGCCATTTTTCTTATCAAAAAAGATGAAAAAAGCCTGTACATATTTAATTGCATATTGCGATTTTAAATATATAAATTTGGATACTCCCAGGTACTTTTTATGGGATCTGTGCCCCGCATAAACTGCCACCTAGCAATTGTTCCTTCCCTGGTAAGGTTTATATAATATGATCAATGAAGTAAAGGTGTTTCAATTTTATCTCACCAATTACCTTATACACTAAAACTATTTATATCATATTCGGTAACTAGCAACAGTAAAGCTGCATAGGGTCTTCTCGTCTAACTAGAGGTAAACTGTATCTGCACAGTTATTCCAATTTCACCGAGCCAATCATTGAGACAGCTGTTGTATCGTTACATCATTCCGTTATAATATTTGCCATAGGTTACTACCCTTAGGCTAGGATTATTATATTAACTTTAATTTTGGGTTACTTTAATTTTCTACCAAAAGCCACTTTCATGGTGACTAGAGCGCACCTTAAATATGTAAAAACTATTAACATACCAAGAAGCATCCGCTCGTTGCTCTTTTACACAATATTTCTTGTGACTTAGATCCGCGATTACCCATTATATTTTCATATATCTTTTTTGATGTTACTATACCTTAATGATTAGTTAAGCCAGATATAACTTTTCAGTCATACTTTAGTTAAAAAAGCTTTAGGGCTTTTCCGGAGTTTGCCTCTTTATTTTGCACAAAACATCATATTTCCTAAGTACAATGCTCCCTACATATTTATAATTTTATTTTCATTTGCAAATATAGCCATTATAAGCAATTCCTCAATCTATTCGTCTATACAACGTGGTCTTATTAGCAGGTTTTATAGTCTTTAGATAGATCACACAATTTTTAATGCTATTAAATTCCAACGTATTATTATCTTTTACAGATATTAACACTACAGGTCTGTTATTCATTTCTAATCTGTCATTATCTAACATATTGTTTATCTCTACTAGACTCATGTTAGTTATAAGCGCATTAGCTACAGGCTTACTAGTAAATGCATATTTCTCTAAATAAAACGTATTTGTATCTAAATATTTACTAAAAGTGCTATAATGAACGTGTAATTTATAAATAAAGTCCTCCTGAATCTCTGAATAATATATAAGCCTAGAGTAATCCTTGGTATATAAATACAAAGGTTTATTTTTAGTACTATATATGCTATTAACGATCTTCAAAGTGTTCAAATTATACTCTTTGTGTAATAAAAAGTATTGTTCTAATACGAGTTGCATACCATTGTCTACTGTAATAATGTCTAAAGTAAAACTATCAATATTATTTTCATACAAAAAGGGCAAAAATATACCTGTTAGTATATGTGCGCTTTTAAAATACCCAATCAACCTACGAGAAAGTTGACAGGATGAACCTACATATTTAGAATTTGTAGTTTTATGAGTAAATATACATACACCCGAAACTTGTTTTTTACTTCTTACTTTACCAATGTTATCTATAAATACGGTTGAACTTATAGTTTGGGTATTGATATTTTAAAAGTGTAATTTAAGTAAAGATTTTAAATAATTTAAACCTGCTCTAGACACATTAAGGGCAACATTAGATAATATAGAGTTAACTTCTGACTCAGAAATTACTAAATTATCGTTGTTAATGTAGCTGAAGGGTAAACTATGCGCTTTTTTATTAAAGAAATTATTCATTGTTTTACTAATTGTTTTGTCTTATTATAAATATGTGTTTTTGTGGGATAACCATGCAAGACCGCATTTAACGGCCAGGGTATTCCGCTACCTTAGGACCCTCATAGGTAAAGCCGCCATTGAACGGGGGTTCCATCAAAGCCTAGCTTATATTAGTCAACTAAGCAAATCCGATAGCCAGCCGCCATCGGGCAGAGATCACACCCAATACTTCGAATTTATTTCTTTGCAGCGTGCTTTGTTTTAATTAAACAGTCGTACAACACCATTCTGTGCCTCCTATCCCATATCTGATATTAATCAAAAGGGACGGCCCACCTTCTCCCGAAGTTACGTGAGTCAATTTGCCGAGTTCCTTAATGATTGTTCACTCGAACGCCTTCGTATACTCTACTTGCTTACTTGTGGTAGTATTTAGGTACGGTAAAGCATCTGCTAAACATGTCATCTGATTTAGTTTATTACTATTTAGCAAACGAGATATACAGTTTTCCAGAACATTTGTCACTATGTAAAAATGATATTTTCTATAAATCTTAGATTTGCTCATCGTTTACCCCTTTTGGGATTATTAACAAATAATAGATTATTCATTAAAGATATAATAAACTTAGAGGCCGTAACTTTAATTAAATTCCATAAGCTTTAGGCGAGGGTATTCCCCTTTATCGTTACTTATATTAGTATTCTCGCTTGGGTTTTTTTTTTTTTTTTTTTTTAAGAATAATTTTATGCCTTATAAAGGCATAATAATAAACTTCCCCAATGTTCCGCTACCCCTAATATACAATGTAAAATTTAGATACATTAATATATTTGGACAAGGTCTCGGTATATTATTTAGATTCGTTAAATCTTCGATACTTTTATTCTTAAAATAAAACCAGTGCTCTGTTACGAGGTCTTCAGAAAATGGCCGCTTCTAAGCCTATTCCCTGGCCGTTTGGGATAAATACTGCCTTAATTTCACTTAACAATAATTTTGGAACCTTATTAACTCTTGTTCTGGGCTGTTTCCCTTTAGACATACAACCTTTTCGTACTATGTCTGATTATTCAATATTCATATCTAGTCCTTCCGAGAACAAAAACTCACTGATAGAGTCTTCACGACCCCCCAATGTCCGCAAAAAGCACCTTATTTATTTTTCCTAAATTAATAGGAAAAATGAGTACTAGTTGCATGAGATCACAATTCTGTACCTTCTGATATTCTATTTAAATTACCTACTTAGATAGGTTTCGCAGAAAACCAGCTATCTTAGTCAGTATTGTCTTTCACTAACTTACCACAATTCTTCGGATATCTTTACAACGATAACCCGTTCGGACTTTTATATTCCTGATTGTGGTAAGATCACTAAGCTTCGGGTCTAACCTTTGATACTGCATTATTATATTCTAATTGTTTTATCTTCGCAATATGTAAAGCAACTCTTAATTCTAAACTTCTATACTGCTCGCATCAAACATTAACTTGCTGACCCATTATGCAAAAGGTACGCTCTTATCGTTTATTTAAACTTTTTTTGAACTGCTTATAAAACTGCTCTTTCAATCATTTCCCTCACGGTACTTTTCGCTATCACATATATATCATATTTAGTCTTAGAGGAAGGTTCCCCTTTTATTCAAACAGATATGCACTCTAATTTACTTGTTTAAGACTTTTCTTATTTCATTCACATTACTTAAAGAATCTCTTTTGATTTCTTTTCCTGAAGTTAATAAGATATTTCAATTCACTTCGTTTATTTTTAAGACACATAATTTCTTATTAGAGTTGAACATGCACTTCATGCATGTATCGTATATATTACACATTTCATTTCAGCCGATCCATATATAAGCTATAAATAGCTTATATAAGCTAGCTCTCTTTGATATATAGCTATGATTCCATAACAATCTCTTTGTATACTTGCTTGTCATTTTATCATCTATTCTTCTAAGAATAGAAGAAATGACAAAAATAATACTTTCCATATCATTTACACTACTAGTGTAGATTATATTTAAGATCTATTTTATCATTCTTATTCTTTATGATAAGATAAATCGGGTCATTATGATTCGAACATAACACTTCCTCAACCCAAATGAGACGCCTAACCAACCTGGCTCTAACCCGTATATAAAGATAATATCTAAATATAATATGTCTATGTTTACTTCAGAGAATATCCGATTCGAACGGATGTGATCATTTTAACCAAATAAGTTTCAAGCTTATCACCTTAAACCACTCAGACAATTCTCTTATAATAATATACTAGTAAATGATTCCTCAGCGGTTTGAACGCCGAACCTACTCTTATCAAAAGTATACTTTACCAGTTAAGTTAAGGAACCTTTATTTTAAATACATAAAAAAAATACCTTCATAAAATATTAACAATGCCACTACTACTAGAGTAAAGAGTGTTTATTCTTTTTTTAATAAAATTGAATTTTTAATACTTACGGAAAAAAGATGATTCGAACATCCAGGTGTTTATTACACAATATTTAGCAAATATCCTGCCTTACCGATAGCAATTTTTCCTCCTTTTCTCCCTGGTCCTTGGAGGAAAATAAAAATATAAAGTAGAAAAGGGAGCAAAACTTGCAAAAATTATAAACGAGTTAGACCGGCTACGATCCGGCATCCTCCTTCTCGACAAGAAGGCCCTTTACCAATTAAGTTACTAACTCTAAATCTTATAATTTACGGCCAGCCGAACTTGAATCGGCACACATCGTTTGGAAGACGAACGGTCTACCAGATTAACCTATGGCCGTTTTTTTTGTTTTAGAAAGGAGGGCAATGTTTTAATCTTCTACTCTTCCATCTTCTCTTTTTATGTTAACAATATATCTACCCTTGAAAATGAATGGTCAGTAATTTAGACCCTTTTTATTGAGAGTTTTCTCTCTCTTCAGAAGAGATGAATGTTTTGAACGCGTAAAATTAGCAGCCTCACGTCTAGAATCATAAGAGGTTGTAATTCCAGTCTCCTGATCTGTTACTTCTACTTCTAAACCAGGATTGGGTTTATGTATTCTATTAGCAGCCTTTTGCTTCATTTTATCTGAAGCTTCATGCGTATGCTTGTAACCTAACAAGGAATGAGCAAATTCAAGTATGTTGTACTTATGCTCCAAGTGTTCTAGATAGTACTGTTCCCGCTCTTTTAGTATGGATAGATCACAGTACTCAATAATATCTAGACAAAAGGCGGAAGTACCATACTTTAACAGGGCTCTCTAGATTAGACTATTAGTAGTCTTAATGCGTCCTTACAGGTACTTAATACTAAAGTAGTTAGCCATCCTTTCATTGAGATCTCCAGTTGAACCAATATATGATTTACCAGCCTCTCTTCTAATTCAGCGATATATACCTGCTTTACCTTTGTTTTCTCTTAAAATATCAATCTTCATAGTTCCAGTGTCATTCTAAGACATACGTGGTACCGTTGTGATCTTGTTTTCGCTATCGGGGACAACAGCTAAAACCTCTTCACTATAGGGGATGCTTCGCAACACAACTGCTATATTGTTACCGATATTTTGGGCATAGCTAATTGAGTTATTATCAGTATTAGGCTCAATCTCGACTATTATGTTATCAGCAGACTTAAAGGCCTTGAAACACACAGAGAAAGGGGCAAACTGTATTCTGGATGCTGGGACATTGTAGTATCTCTTAGCGTTAAAAGTTAATTTCATTGTTTTATTACTTTTCATTTTCCTCTTAACTAAGATCCTCAATAATAAATAGAAATAAAAAGAATTAATCAAACAACATCAACAAAATGTCAATATAGTATAGAAGACTCTAGACCCAGATGATGGTTTTCAGTAAAGTGGTAGGCTAATACTCTTCATAAGCCTACACCTATAAAAGCAGTCCCTATCATTACGTGAAGACCATGAAAACCTGTACCGAAATAGAAACAAGAACCATATGTACTGTCGGAAAATGTGAATGAAGAAACTGTATATTCTAAACCTTGTAAACCAGTAAATATTAAGGCTAACATTACAGTAAGCACTATACCATACAAGGCTCCACTTCTATTTCCCTGTATTAAAGAATGGTGGGCATAAGTAACTGTAAAGCCTGATGATAATAATATAACTGTGTTTAGTAAGGGTAGCTCAAACGGATTAACAGAATCTATACCCTTAGGTGGTCACTGAGATCCCATTTCTGCAGCAGGTGATAATGCACTATGGAAAAATGTTCAAAAAATAGCCAGAAAAAACAATGCTTCACTAACTATAAACAAAGCAACTCCCATATTTAGACCCCTTTGTACAGCTAAAGTATGATTACCTAAGTATGTTGCCTCACTAATAACGTCTCTAAATCAAAATGACATGGAAAAGATTACTAGAAGTAAAGCCATGTACAAAAAATACTGTGCTAAAGAAAAGCCATGCATCGTTAAAACACCTGATGTAGTAAGAGCTAAAAGAGATATACATGTAAAAATAGGCCAGGGTGAGGGAGAAACAAGATGAAAAGGATGAGCTTGAAAATTACTCCTTACTAAGTTTGTCATCTAAGTTTTACATTAAGTTTTACGAATACACAGCAGAGTAAACAATAAGGAATAGCTGATTTGAACACCTAACCTACCGTGTGTAAAACGGTTGCTCTACCGTTGAGCTAATTCCCTTATATTTGTTTTGCGCATACGAAGCATGCGTATCATGATATAAATACATAAACTATGTTGCCATATACATAAATGTATCTATTAATAATTGGTTTAGATAAGACCTACGGGGTTCGAACCCATATAATGATGATTAAAAGTCACATATTTTACCAGTTAAACTAAAGTCTCTAGGTTTATTAACGATCATCTAAAATAGTACGTACTGTTGTTTACTTTAGGTGTTAAGCTTTAACAGGATAGTTTACATAAAGATAAGCTAGTCTAATCCTTTTGTTTTATTGTTATAACAATGGCACCAACCATAGCTAATAATAGTATTATAGATGTTATTATAAGCCATATAGAATAACTTGTATACATAATGTTACCTATACTTGTTATATGTGTTGTTTCTGCCAGACTACCATCTCAGGTTTTAGAAGTTGCAAACATTAATTCACTATTGTTACTAGTGGGATTGAAGGATTTATTTAGAGAAAAGATAATAAAGATAAAATCTTTAAAGACATCATTTAGATTAAAGCTTGATGAATTGAGAGGTAGTACTTTATATACAGGATAAATAAAAGACACACCTATTAATAGTGCTAATGGTATACTATTACTAGTATCAGACAAAAGCTCAGATATTCTCACGTTTATTAACATTAATATAAATAAAAATAAGATTGAAACAGCTCCAACATAAACCAATAAATACGATAAACCTATAAAGTTTAAACCTAAAACTAGTAAATAAGATGCTATACTTAAAAAGAGTCCTATTAAAAACAATACTGACACTATGGGGTTTTTATTTATTATAACAAAAATACCCGATAAGATAGAAGCCAAGGAGATAAGGTCTAAAGCTTCCGCACTATAACCATTAGTAAAAGTTTCACTTAGAAGATCTAAATTATCAATCATATTAAATTGTAGAGGATTTATATCTCATGATTTATGTTAACTACATAATTTTTATTTTTACATAGCTCTTTTTAATGAGAAACATGTGGCAATTTTTACTATACATGGGGGTTAGCGCGTATAAGACTCGAACTTATAATCCTTGTGGCCGAAACACATCGCTTAACCAGTTAAGCTAACACGCTCTAATGTAAAAAAGAGAAAACGTATAGCCTTTTAGCTAAATTATAACAATATTATATGTAATATTGTGTTGTTTTTTTTCTCATTTTCACATATTTTTTTTTTAGATAAATCAGATGCTGATGCCATGATGCTGATGCCATGATGCTTCGCATTCACAAGCAACCGCAATAAAAAGTGCATCCATGGGCTTTAAGTTACATTATAGTATCTTCTCCTATTAATAGTAAAAACTAATAATGAGAACTATGTGTATATTTCCTTTCATTGTTCTACAAAAGGGACTGCCAGCTTAACTGTATAAACTACCAGTTATCTACAAAAGATATCTAGACAAAGATAAGACCTACGGGGTTCGAACCCATATAATGATGATTAAAAGTCACATATTTTACCAGTTAAACTAAAGTCTCTAGGTTTATTAAGATATATTACACAAATTACAGAAACACATCGGTTAACCATTTAAGCTAAGATGCTTTAATGTAAAGATAAAAAAGTCTTATATTATTTAGGATGCTTCTTGTGCTGATGTTTTTAATAAAAACAAGCAAGAAACACAACGCATAAAAAAAATAAGCGTGATGGCATCAAGCAAGCAAATAAACAGCCCTTAAAGTGAATCGAACACTTATCAAAATATTAACAGTATCTCGCTCTACCGTTGAGCTACAAAGGCTATGGATGCTCTGCTTCTTGTTCCACAAAAGCAACACAAATAATAGTTATCTGCTTCGCTGTTTAAATAAAACATATGATGCTTCTGATGCTGATGCACTTTTTATTGCGGTTGCTTGTGAATGCGAAGCATCATGGCATCAGCATCTGATTTACTGAGGAAGAAAAAAAGCAACCGGCCACAATAAGCACAACAAGAATACTCGGATTTGAACTGAGAATTTGAAGTTTGAAGCTTCCTATTTTACCATTAAATTATACTCTTTGGCTTTAAATCTGTTTTATGCAGTACTTTAATTTTTTTTAGGCTTGCTTGTGTAGCTTTTGTGGAACAAGAAGCAGAGCATCCATGGCAGAGCATGTAAAATGTTTTTAACTTGCGGAGCATTAATAGGAAACAAGAGACTCGAACTCTTAAAAGCTTAGTGCTATTGAGTTTACAGCTCAACCCATCTTGCCAATTATGGAAGTTTCCTTTAGTTGCTGATTAGATCTCAGGGGATGAAAATAAAAACTTATCCAACAAAACTTTTCCTGATCTTATCTAACGCCCAATGGTAGAGTCAGAAACACCCAAGACTAAACCAGCTTCTAATTTAGATAGGTCTCTATATTTTTCTGTGTTTATATTAACAACCAACACGGGTGTAGCTATAGACTTCCTAATTTTATTTTTGGTTTCTTCCGTCTGTACTATAGTTCTCATTTTGACCAAGGTAGCTTCAGGTACAGTACGCCTGCTTCTTTTTAATATGCTTGCCTCATTATGGGTTGCTAACGAAGTTGAGCATCACCATAAGAAGAACCTGCCTGCTTTAAAATATTATAATCGGGTTTTAGGTTATACAAATATAACTGTTCCTTTAAAATAACGTTTTTAAGAGAACAATCTTCAATAATATCTAGCTAAAGTTCTTTCTTGTTATTGCGAAACATTTCAAGAGTGCTAAATTAATTAACATACGAATTTTAGACAAAGCATCGTGGTTGAAGTCTTTGACAAATATTTTGGATAAATTTATGCTTGATCCAACCTAAATTTTATTGTTTATTTTGTTAGTCCATATATATACACCACACTTTACTCTGTTTTCCTGTATAATCGTATTTTGCACGGATAACTCGCCTAATTTATCATGTATTATTTCTATTTTTGTTTTCATTATCTGCTTCGCTGAGGAAGATAATTGAACTCTTGTAGTATTTTTATACCTTTTACGGTATAATACCATTGAGTTTACAGCTCAACCCCTCATACCAACAAATGGAACCTTCCTTGTATTGGTGTTGCAAAGCATCATCTTTAATAAAACTCCCTATGTACAACAGTGAACAGTAAACAATAAACAGTAAACAATAAACAGTAAACAATAAACAGTAAGCAGTAAACAGTAAAGAGGTATATTAGTTAAGTGTTTAGATGTGGCTAAATCATACTGTTTTCTAGTTAAACACAAAACAAAAAAAGTACGTATGTATTGGGGGTGTTACAAAGCAATAAGGAGTTATTGATCCCTTATTGCTTTGTAACTGGGGTATTTTTAATATTCATTAATCCCGTGCAATTTCCACTACACGAACCATATTTCGACTTAACACCAATCAAAGTCACGCATACGAAGACATCATGCCTAAGTTATTAGACCAAATCGCCTAAATTATAAATAAACACTAGCCGAACTTATTGCACATACTTCTTCCGGCGCCTGACGAGTAGTTAGTACCTATCTGAGATTAGATTCACCGTGCCGTACTTATACACGATTACTAGTAATTCCTATTTCACGCAGTCGAGTTACAGACTACAATCCATTGTTAGTGTTTATCCAGTTTTGGGGGATTAGCTCAATTTCGCAATTTCACACCCTTTTGTAAGGCCTACGTGGCACGTCTATAGCCCACAATATTTAGGCCATGATGACTTGTCCTAGTCCCTGTTATCATATCCAATATAGCGGGGAACTACTCTATCTAAAAATAAAGTAAGGGTTTACGTTAATTTAATGGAACTAACCATAGTCTCGCGACATTAACTGAAGACAGCCGTGCAACGCTTATAAAGATATCTTATTACCTCTTTTTCTTTTTCTTCTTTAATTAATATTATTATAATAAAAAAAAAAATAAGAAGATTAAAAATAAAAATAATAAAAGATATAAATATTTAAATTGTGGTAAGGTTTTTTGCGGGTTATCAAATTAAACAACATACTTCACTACTGGTTTCAGAAACGGTCTAATGATTTCAGTTCCAATGTTGCCAAATTACTCTTGAGGTGGAATGCTTATACTTTTATTTATAGAATAAACTTATTTATCTAATTTATAATATTTATTATTTTCTACTTAGACTACTGGGGTATCTAATCCTGTTCGCTACACTAAGCCTTCGTCCCTCAACGTCAGTTATCACATAAGGAGATGCTTTCGCCTATGCCTGTGCCATCTTTTTGGAGGTATAACAGAATTTCATCTCTACACCAGCAGTACATTATAGCCCCCTCATAAGTAACTCTAATAAATTAATCTCTTTTTATTATTTTAGGCTTGATTTACCGTCTAGGTACCCTTTAAACCGATTAAACATGAATAACACTAGTCTTCTACGTATTACCGCGACTGCTGGCACGTAATTTGGTCAAGACACATAAGCAGACAATGTCATTATCATAATTCTACCTAGAATTTTATTCGACATAGTCGATCTTGCATCATCTGTACAATGATGCAAGTAGCTATTGCTATACATTCCTCCAAGTTGCTGGTTCAGCCGTTAGGCTATTGACCAATATTCCTCACTGCTGTGACAATCGTCATGGGCTTTATTCAGGCCCACTGTGGTCGATCAACCTTTCAGTTACGACTTCGTGCGTATAGCTAGTTAGGCTTTTAATCTTAACTACTACCTGGCACGAGATACGAACTTCTAAGAGCGAAACTTAACTTTCTTTATTATTATAAGGCATTTTTTCCTTACTCCAAGGTAGTTACATTATCTTAAACTCACCTGTACACCACTACTAGTCAAAACTAGTCGTTCGATTAGCATGTGTCAAGCATTTGGACAGCGTTCATTCAGAGCCATCATCAAACTCAACTCTAAAGTAGTATATTTTACCATCGTAATGATACTACTACTAATGTAGTGTTTTAACAAAGAGACAAATGTAAAATATACATATTATTATGGTTTTACATATTTTACATTTGCTAGTTATGCCTCGATCAAAATCGTGGTGAAATATAAATACAAACTTGAACTCGATAATTTGTTCGTTATTATTCCCATCAGTAAAATAAACTTTACTTGCGGAGCATGTAAGTTATACCTCTTATTAGGTAAGACATTTTTGTATTGATTTGCTCAGACGTCTTGATATTTAAAGTCTGAGAATGGAACTTTAGTGATTTTAGAATTTAAAAAAGACCACTAATAAATGATTTATCTAAGAAAATAAAGCCTGTATACTTAGGGGATATATCAGTTTAGTGGTATCTTTTATAGCTATTACCAAATTTTGTTGCAGGGTTAAAGAAAAAACTTTTAACATTTATATTATTAAGCGGCATTATAGTGTTAGGTTTTTATATAAACATATGATGATTTGACTTGTTTCAGATTCGAACTGAAAGATTAGTAGTTTTCTTTTCGTTTTTTATTTTTATTCATTTTCTTCTATTGTTGTTACTTTTATCCTTTCTCTTTCGAGAAAGGAGAAAATGCGAATAAAATTAGAATAAACTTAAAAAGAAAAACAAAGATGAAACTACTTGGTTTACCAATAAACTACAAATCTGTTTAACTGGATACAAATAAGCCGGTTCCTGTTATTGTCTGTGAGTCTAAATGAAGGCTAGGTTTAGGATTGACATTTAATAGCTAGACTAAACTGGACAAAGTAAACTTTTAATTCTTGTCACATATATAAAGTATACCTCTTATTTTCTGCTAAAGACCAACACTTTCGTATCTGCACGAATTTGTATAAGATATAAAAATTATCAATAGACGTATGCATAAACCTAATAAGCTTTGGACTTCCCTATGCTATTTACTTAAAAGTAGCATTAAACAATGTGTATCACAGTACTAAGCGTTTTTAGATGTAATTTTATAATGGAAAAAAAAAAATTATATCTACACAACCTCTGGAGATGTGCACCAGCCCTAGGTTAAAATTGATATTAGATAGACAAATTAAAAACATAATCAAATAAAACAAGTAGAATAACTATGTTAGCAGTAACTATAATTTAGTTATAAAAACGCGTGTATTAAATAAACGTACAAACCTAGTTAAATTGTATTTTGAAAATATATATA